CATTGTTCCACCCACCTAACATACAAACTCCTGGTCCACTTTTATTCAGTTCAGTATCCATCAAAAATGAGGTGAAAACGAAGGCAAAAGCGGCTTTCTATGGTAATCCATCCGTATGGAAGAACAAAATAAGTTTTTCGGAAAGATTCAAAAAAAAAAGGAATACAACAAAGCGCTCTCAAGTCTCTTCAGGTTGAGTTTAGCATCCGGTTTCTAAACCAATTCACGAAACAAACTCAAAAGATAGAGAAAAAAATTTGCGGAGGGCCTCAACAAAATTTTATAATCTCTTACCACCTTATTTTTTCATGTTTATGCAAATAATGGAGAATTCTACAAAATCGTGACTTATAAAGCACTTACCTGTTGCTTTTGATAGATGGTATCCATAAGGATTCTTGATTCCAATATATTCTTCTCTGGAAAACGAAATGATTGGGAATTTTCTTACAATTACCAGAAAAGTGAAGGAATCGCAAATATCAGTGACCTACCAAAGTGATAAATAATAAAAATTTTGTTAAGTTTACAGTTCAAGTTTACAATTCTGAACGAAATTAAAATAAAGATAAAAATCTAAACAGTGTTTTACAGAGTAAGAAAATAAGGACAACGATCATATGAACATATGTTTCAATAAACACCAGTAGTGGCAAAATCAATAAATGATTCGCTAATAAACTGAAGCTTACCACTGTGTTCTAAGCGAACCACAATGAAGGTAGCACCTTGATGCTCTGGCGACGGTACACATGCGACATGCCCTGTACCCTTGTCGTCCCATACCCGCTGATCGCAAAGCACATAGAGTTTTACCCGATTTTTAACTTCCTGGAACTGAATAACCATTAGTTTCTGGATTTGAAGGAAAAGCGAAACTAGCAAAGCTTTGTGTTGCTGATCTCTCAAGAGTTGAATACTGGAACCTCTAACTTTTCGAGTTATATGGATTCCTTTTTTGGGACACTGGCCCAACTTCTGACTGTCTTAACCGCTACATACACTAAAATTTCCAAGGTTGTCTGCCATGTGTCAGGAAATAAGCGTGAAATAATGTCCTCAGCACTTCAAACTGCAGCACTATTTAAAAGTAATTGATCGCTTTGAGAGATATTTGGAATAGAGGATACTTAGCTACCTGTTTCTGAGGAATGTAGACAGGAACTTATTGAATTTACAGTGTGGGGAAGGTAGTTGAAATATTCTAAGTAAAACGGAATCTTCCGAATCTGTATGATTCCTGACCATTTGAAGTAAGTTCTAAATACAGCACCAGAACTTACACGTTGTATTGTTATTTTCGCTAGATGTTTGTTGGGATCCTCATCCTCAGCATTTTTATCTGCAATTTTCAAACTTTTACATTCCTCATGGATGTTACCGCTGTTATTGTCCGCAGTTGTTGAGTGTGCATCGTCCGGATTTCGGGTGTTAGCATCGGTTTCGGGCATGTCGCCTCCTGAAAGGTTCTTTCACAAATGGCACCTGAAATCCTGAATGAAAAAGTGTCATTAAAACTTTCCAATGCAGATGATGAGCATTAATTGGCAGCTGTGAATTGCACGCGATTACAGCAATCAGAAGGCAGGAAGAGGAAAACGCTGCTCGATAAAACGTTTTCTTGACAGATACGTTATAACATAAAATGTTATAACGTATTTGTCAAAAAAAGATTCGAGAGGAGTCAATTTCTATATAGCTACAAATATAACATATCCTCTCAGAGAATCACAGAAGTGTGGTGGATGGAAAGACAGTGTTACCTTGCTTGAGAAATTTGAAGTTCCGAATAACCAGCTTTTTAGCTCTTCGAGCAGGGATCATGCCTATGAAGTCTGCAGCACTGTGTAAGTAGTCACATCCTGGCGCTACGGAACAGTACTGTTCATCACAGCTTTTTCCATTAACAAATTTCATTTTTATTATTCTAACGTTGGTTTTTTTATATATGCAAATCTCATGCTACCTTCAGAAGTGAGAAGAGCTGCGATTTGGATAATTCACATATTTGGTAATGAGAAACCCTCGGCAGGATAACACACGGACTAACTGGTAGTATTATGGTGTATGATTCGAGATGAGATGTTTGTAATGGAAGGCTCGAAGGAGTAAGTGTAAAGGAGATAACAACAAACTTCTAATATTCCTTTCTGTAATGTAATCATATGCCAATTGGTTCATACGTGTTTCTAACATAGAACCTACGTGAAATCTACATCTGATCACGAAACCCTCATCTTCTTGATACTTCTGCTTGCACTCGTATGTTACTACCTAAGATATGCAAATGGGAAAGAAAAACAGTTCAATAGCTCGCAATGATGAAGATTTCATCACGCAGAATGTTCGCCAGTGTTACGTAGTGTCACAAAGGATGAAATGACAGTTCATATGGCGGGATGACGCAGAGCACGGCTAACAAAGTGACGATGCGTGAATAAATAAGGGACTGAGAGCAGAGAGTGATAGCGCGATGACGTCAAAACGGACCATTTCACGCAACCTCTCACTGTGCAACAATCCTACGGTAATTGAAATTTTTAAACAGAGGGAATTGTGGATGGTGAAAGGCGGCCGAGGAAGTGCCGATCGATCTGGCAATGGTGGATGCTTCCTCAGGGTTTGAAAAACAGACATGCGCTCCTACGTACTTACCCCATCTTTCTCTTGCATTGCGTGTAGGTTTACTAGGCATGCAGGACAGCAAAACTGCCATGTGAAGCAGAGATTTACTGATGCTGAATTGCTCGTCGAAGTTTAACGTGATGCGTTGGTAACACGTCAATTTCCCTTTTCCTAGAGTTGTTCCAGTTGTGTGAGCATTTTATGTATGTGTGAAACTGATACAGATTGATCCATCTTAACTTACATTTATTTTGTATTAATTTGCCAACCGTTGTGTAATGGCAGGATAACTGGAATGAGACGAATCTTCGGTACATCGGGGAGGAAGGAGCCACAGCCAACGCTGGTGGATGCAATAGCAAACGTTGACTCACGTACTGAGAGCATTGAGAAAAAGATAGCTCGTTTGGATGGCGAACTTGTGAAATATAAGGACCAAATGAAGAAAATGCGAGAGGGACCGGGCAAGAATCAACTGAAGCAGAAAGCTCTACGGTAAGTTAAGTGATAGCTCATTTTAAACACATTTCGACCACTTATCATTGCAATCAGTTCGAACCCGAAAAATTGTTCATGTATGCCTACTACTGTCTGCACTTATTGGTTGTACTAAACTAAAATCATTTACTAAATAATATTCTCAGCATACTGAAACAAAAACGTATGTACGAGAACCAACGGGATCAACTAAGTCAGCAGTCTTTTAATATGGAACAGAGCAACTTCGCTATGCAAGGAATGAAAGATACGCAGGTGAGCTTTTGCCCTTGACATTTGCTTTTGTTTTAGCGTTCATTGAAAATATTTCTTTGTGTCTTAAGCGTCATCTATAGTGTTTCTTAGCGATTACATGATAATCATTAATTCTCAAGATTTCACGGCGAAATTGAGGTAGTTTTAGTTGTTTATTTATGTTCGATTTTCTAACGCACAATTAATAGTTTATGGCAATACAGGCTACCGTGGCGGCCATGAAACAAGGCTTAAAAACTATGCAGAAAGAATACAGAAAGTTGGACGTCGACAAAATCGATAAGCTCCAGGATGAAATGGAGGAAATGCTTGATATGAATAATGAAATTCAGGAAGCTATGTCGCGGCAGTACGAGACGCCGGATGTAAAGTTTCTAGATTTCTTACTTTATGACTTTTTTTCTTTCGTTTCGAGCTTAGTTTGACAACTCGTTGGATATCAATAGTTCTCGTATTTCAGATTGATGAAGCTGATTTAGAAGCTGAACTTGATGCTCTGGGGGATGAATTTGAAACGGATGTAGATACTTCCTATTTGGATGAAGCGTTGAACGCACCAGGAGTACCATCCAAGGAACCGGGATACGAGAGCAAGGTGAACATGAAAATATAAATTTTTGCTCTTTTTGAATATGAAATCAAAGTTGACCAAGTTTCTTGTCGTTCTTTTCTCAAGCATGCAATCTATATTCATAAATTAAAAGGTACAGTGAGAAGTATATTGCATTCTAGATTGACGATGCAGGTGTGTGCTATTAACTGTCTAAGAGTCGTATTACAGGTGACAGAAGGAGGAATTGCAGTGGATGAATTCGGCCTGCCGAAAGTTCCTGCGAACAATTAGCCTCCATCATCTTCATGGTTGAGATATAGTATAAATTGTTTGCGGTTGTTATCCCAACTTCTTGAGATTTATTGTTTTCTCTTATCAGCTGAAGTAATTTTCACTCCCACTTCACTGCTTCAGTTAATGCGGTCTTATGAATGTTTTTGCGGAATCCGTAACCATTTTCAGGTATAACTTCATATAAACAGCATGGTGGTTCTTACTGATGCGATGACTGGTTTTAATAAGGTATCTCGGAGAGTTGCTGATAAAGCTTTCTATTCACATAAACAATCGGTTTGAAGAATTCGGGACGTTCATCACGCTTTCCCTTCTTTCTAAAAAGGAGAAAAAAGGATTCAAATATGAACAGGGCGATGGCAAGTGCTGACACTCCATGTCTATTAGCCGTACAGATCTAAATTCGTTTTAGTGTGTAATTCAGTGAGTGCTTGTAAGGGTTCTAATAATATGTTTGTTATTTCATTTCATATTTTAATGAAATAAATCACGAAATTCAAGCGCATTAACAATTGTTCAGAGATATTGACGGAACTTAGATGTACTGTAAATATTAAAAGTGTTTCTTGAAATCATTTAAAAGTTTCCGTGCATTTAGAAAGTGGAAGGGATTGTTTCAGGTAGGACAAGAAATCATGGATTTTCGGGTTAAATGAGATGGAAGTTGAGGTTGTGTTGAATCGCGCAAAATGTAGGAGTGCCGAACATTTTTGATTTGAAGCAAAGAGTTTTCCGGTCACCTTTATGCTCTTTATGCACAGTATCAAAGTATCAATATCAAATTGTTTTATTATATCCGGTTTCAATGTCAGACTCCGTATGATCACGTAAAGACAGCAAATCACAGGCACGTTGGTGCGAATCGAATTGAAATTCCCTGCGCGAGTCCTGGAAAAATGTTCTTTGTTGGATTTGTATGTTATATTTCCAATTCAGAGTAATGTCGAAGGAAATCATAACAACTCGATTCAGTATGTCGATTCTCGTACATGAACTCTCCACTTTGAAACTACTAGATATTTTGTCAGCTACTTCGGTTCCAAACGAACAAATGGAGTTTCGTGTTAAGGACTGGAACCTACAAAGCTTGCCGGAATATACATTTTAGTATCTATCGGCTTCAACGAGATCAGATTCCTCGTCAGATTCAGTTTATTATTTAAGCTGTATTCCAGTTATTTATAGTTCGTTGCTTAAAATTTCTTTTCAAGCGAGGTACAGTGATTTAAAATTTGGAGTAAAAAGTTATGCCTAATATTCTTCCTTTTGTGTATCTACTTTATCATCAAATACAAGTGTTGCATGTATTACAAAACCTTTATTAGGTGTAACCTATGGAAACAACTCAATGAAAGACGAAAACTCTCAGTTCATCAGGAATCTGCCGTTGTAAGGAAGCACAAAAATTTTATAAGTCAAAGGGAAGCTTGTCAAAAAGGCGCGAGTCCGCTACCTTTGCCAAGTGCCAAAGCATAAAACAGACATCTATTCAAATTGAACTAAACGAAGTCACAATTAAAAGATTGGAAAAAACTTTACCACATGCAGCATTCTGACATTCATTGTCGAGCTGTGGCATTTCTTGCTTGGTGGTCTGAAAACCATGGATGTATTTCGAG